AATAACAAATTCAAGCAGAAGAATTTGATGCACACCAAAGAATGTTGTGTTGTATCAAGAAAGGTTGAATGTTTCCTCATACACCAACCTACGGAGGGGGGGACGGTCAAATCTCTAACAAATTGCCATTGACGTACGTAACTTTTAGAGATACTAAAAATATACAAATGAGTTATTTCTATTCTCGTTGCATTGTTGACAATTTCATTTATGTGCATTGTTAATATTATTTATTCTTCACTATACAACTCGTTGAAATAAATTATAATTGACACATATCCAATGCAAAAGAAATTATAATCTAAATGAAATACAAGTTACGTCAATATGGTGAGATTTAGGAAGTAACTAAATATGTACGAAAATTAAGGAGAATTCTGGTTGAAGCTCCCGCCGCTGCTTATGGCGGTAACCAAGTCCCTAGACCACTACAACACGAAAAACCATCATACTTTAAATAAGAAATGTTGAAAATGACCTCCATTGATCCTCCTTCACCAAGTAATGATCTATCTTGCACAGATGTTTTGTACATTGAAATTTTTTAATTAAAATATGTAGGATTTAAATCGGGTGTGCAAGATGGCCAAAACTAAGGTCCGTCACAGCCTTTCCAACGATTTGGATATGATTTGTTTAAATATTGACCAACTCTTACGCGCTAACATGGACAGGAAGTGCTTCATGCATAAACCAAAGCTGAACTTTGACACTTATTGTTAGGGGTACATCTTCAAGAAATACTTCTTCAAGAAAATAAGTGCATGTATCTCCATTCAAACTAGGTGGTAGGAATTCTGGACCAATTTAGTAGTCTCAAGGAATTTCACCTCACACATTCAGAGAAAGCTGTTGCTAACAATGAACTTTGAGTAAGACACGTGAATTTTCTCTTACCTATATGTGTTTATTATCAATAAGTTAATACATATCAATTTTCCTGAAAAATTGGCCTCGTCTGTAGACAAAATCCGTGCCAAAAGCTCAAGATTTAGTAAATCACGTGCACTGGTTCTTATAAGATGGCCCATGTCGTCATGTGGTTAATATTTATTTGCAAAGCAAATTCAGTACTGCTTGTTCCAAAGCCAATGTGCTAATTTGCAATTATATGTTCCTTCTCTTGAAAGTTCCTTAATATTAAGAATTAGAGAGATTTATTTTCATGAAAGACACCCCTCTCTTAATTTTCAACAAGGAATAGCTTAATTTTTCACTGTTATTTATTTACAGTCCGTATATTGTTGTAATAGTGTCACTATTCGTTTGTCGTTTATATACCTATATATTCTTTATTTAAAGAGTTGTGAAAAAGTAAATATTTATAGGAATTGGTACGAATGGTGTTATTAGATTTCTGAAAAAACAATCGAACACAAATTTTCAAAAATCGAACCATAAGAAAATAGTACTATAACTTTTAAAATTCGCTAAATCAAATTTAGATTAATAAAACAGGATTAAAACATTTCTAATACATTTCTTTCATCTACTTTGCAAAATAAACATCTAATTTGATAATTACTATACAAGGTGTGCTTGATGCTCAGTTTAAGGAAGAATCAACGTCACAAAATAACAAAATGTGCGTCCAAAAATGCTTCGTATTTTTATATGCAGCATGTTTATCATTTCAAACTAATTAAAGTACAGGGTGACCAAATTTAACATTTTTGGAGGATTTCTTTTATTCACCAAAAACATAATGAAAAAGTAGTTTAGATCTCGATTTTCGAGAAGACTTGAATCACTCGATTTCTTGATTTGTTTGAGAAATAGAGGACGTTTTTTAATTTTGGACATTTTCTATAAAGTTCAATAACATTTTTGTCCGAAAATATTTTATTTTTTAAAGTTTTATACCTTATTTTTTCATGAAGAATCCATGGCATGCGCGATACTATGCTATAATTTATTAACATATTACACAAACTTATTCATATATTTTTATAAACTGAACACGATATATATTTTTCGATTTTTAAATCTGCGTAAAATTTCATTTTAAATAATGCAACACATACGATATAAATGACATATTTATGTAAAAAAAAATTTCTAGATAGGTTCCCTAAAAATATTTTTTTAATACTTACAATTGCTTCTTGAAGCAGTTCAAAGTACTGTGTGTTTCTTTATCGACACATCAAATATATCCACGGCACACTTAATTGTGTCAAGTTATATAAAAATGCTGAGTACGCCACTGGATTTTACATAAATTAAAACTGCAGCAAAGTATCTTTACAAAAATCAAATGTTCTAATAAACAAAAAAGTTACAGGTAACCATACGGAATTGTCAAAAATGAAAAAAAAAAATCTAGTACCGAATCAGAGGATCACCATTACCTGAGGAACAATTCCATCCGTAACGGCCTTAAACTCAATAAGAACCGAAATGAACATCACGCCGAAACTAGAAGGTCTAATGGCTGGTCCGCCCCCACAGCACCTAACCCGAGAACATCAAGGGCAAGTCAAAGATTCCTAGCAAAGGCTAATGAAGTGAAAATGACGCATTCTAGCAATATGCAGTAAGACTCCATTTTTGGAAAGTTTTTAGTACCCTGTCATAATCGCCATCAAATTTGAAATAGCATAAAAAAAATCAAAAGAAATGTTACCACTTCCGCCCCTGCGAATACGCCCATTATGTATTATACATATATGTTAATGGACAATAAAAATTAATGCTACTTGTCAAAATTGAGTGAAATCTCTTCAGCCATCTTTGTTGTAATTATTTTTTTTTTTCTAAAATTTTGTATCTGGAAACCGAAGCATTTGCAAACAATAGAGGATTTTTTTATTGATTTGTGAAGTAGAATCCGCCATTGAAGTTTGGTCAAGCATTATTTTAGTTACATCCTGTATATAACTCGCCTTACTTTCGATTTTAAAATATTAAATATTAATAATTAATGAAGGTTTGTGTGCATATTTTACAGTTACAAAAATTTAGAACGACGAATTTCATAGGTCAAATATATTTTGACATATGACAACAGACTAAATTTCAACACAGTTTTTATAACAAACTCCTAAATACTTAAGTACTTAGATAACATTCCCCTCACAAACATTATAATAATTTTGATGTAATTCCGAGTTATTTACATATTTTAAAATCTCCCTGTATATAAAGTCAACATTTGTCAAAATCTCTTATCTAATACAGAAATATGCATAATTCTGAAAGGCATAATATCGTTATTAACTTTGATGTTCCTTATTCTGACGGAAAACCACTCACACAGACCATCTGCATCTCAGAGGCGTCCTATTTTAAACAATTTGAATCCAAAAAAAAAGTAATATAAGTAGAAAACTCGAAGTACATTTAAAATGAATTACTAAATTATGGTTTTTAGTAAAAAAAATAACTAATTGGACTAATACTAAAGCAAATAATATTAATTTTAAATAAATTACTGTTAAGTCATAATAAATTTGCTCAAATTTTGTAAAACTAAAAGCAAAAATATATTGAAAAAACATCTGACTGCTACAGTTTCTCCAAAACTTATTGCTATTATGTTGTGCAACTAAATATGTCACAGTCGACAATTATTATCATGAGAGTCGCCACCTTGTCTTATCACAAATCCCAACATCTTCAGGCTTAAAGAGACTGAATTTCGATTGTGATATGAGAAAGACAACTTTCTATTTAAATTTATTTAATCTTAAATGATTTAAATCACCATTTAACTGACCCTGAAGAAGAACACAACAATCGACAATGTCACTGAAGAAAAACTTTTCAACCCTTCTGCGTACTTGTACTATTCATGGTAACTGAGAAAGGTAGTAATGTCTTTGATAAAAATGATTAAAAAGCTTCACCAAATTGTCACAGAATCTACAAGCCTCCAGTTTAAAAGTATAGTGTGATGTGTTTGGTAACAGGTCATAAGTCGCAACATACATAACATTGGCACAGAATCGACAAATTTCTCAAGAATAAAAGTGGGAAATGCCTATAATAAATTTATCGTTTTAAAATCTATTATCCTTATAGTACCTGGAAAGTTCAAAGTTATCTAAAATGCAATACCGATTCTAACATTGATGTCGATAATGGCCAAAGCATTTGCTGAAAATTTTATGTAAAACATATACAAAATATTGCATCCTTCTGACAACTGTAAAGGCAAATCATAACTGATTTTGGGGACCGCCTAGCCGGGTGTCTTAGCCGGTGGATTTCGATCTGCCAAGGTAAGTATCAAGGACGCAGGCTGGAATTTGGATGGGTGACCTAAGGCAGGTTCGGGGACGTGGCTGTGGCAGCCTACCAGAGACCCCTGGGTCGTTCAACATTTGCCGCATGCGTGTGGTCCCCGATAAATGGTAATGAGAACAGAGCAAAAAAATTTCTGTAACTCAAGACCATGCTATCATACATAAACTGTACGAGACTTTGTCACCAAGCCACCCGTGTAGTAAAATAGGATGGTTTGAAGAAAAGTACTCGAGTAATGAAGGGGAGTGTACAAGGGCCCTAATAAGGCCTAACTGCCGCGGTGGAAAAACAATTCCACCACTCTCCGACATACATACATACAACTGATTTTAACATCCGAACAGTATAAACAATTAAGATTACAATTCATCAGCAGAATGAGATGTAAGCTAGTATTGGTCGTCATTGTCACTGCTATCTAGATCGCAGATTAAAGCCTACAGTTGCCTTGGATTTGAGGAATTCCAATAAAACATGACAAAGAACGAATGTAATTATGCTATGTAATTTATATTTATATAGACACTTTGTTTACCAAGCAAAGGAATATTAGAACTTCATAGGGTAAAAGTGAACAACCACATTACACGATAATAATTAAAGTAACAAAATCAATTCGTCATATACATTCTTGATTAAGTTACAGTTGTCGATAAACCCTGCTCCCCACCCGACCGCACGCTCATGGCGATTGATATTCAATCATTGGTTAGGCTACACCTTCCAAGTTCTTAAATAAGGACAAATCAAGACTCCTTTCAGTCATATTCAAGAGGTGGACATTGGCACACCTCGCCAGTTTAGTTACGTTAATATATTTATAAAAAAATACAAAAAAAATTAAAATGAAGTTTTTTATGTTGGTAGTTTTGGCATTGGCTTCGACGGCAAGTAAGTACAAGAGAACCTTTCTTTTCGCTTTTCTAGCGGTGCTTTATACCATAACAAACAGCATGGCGATTAATTGATAATTAATAATTGTGCCGCAAAATGTATGTCATTTCCGGTTACGTAATTTTAAAAAAATACAGTACAGCTGTATAACATGTATTATCTCGGTCCAAGAGGCCAGAGAAAGTTAAAGTAATTATTAATTTATGTCTACACATGCACAATCTGCATATGTTGCTGGGTTGTTACCACGAAATTTGTCCCAGCTGTTTTATTTAAAACGTTTTTTTGTAAATCGTTTTTCTAATATTATAAATCAGTTTAATTTTGGCAAGACGGAAATATTTGGATTTCCATATGTTAATATTGGGTGTATTGTTGTGTCACGAAAATTTTGTGTGTATATCCCGAGTCTTTGTTTCATGAATTCAGTTGAATTTTATTGCACATCTTCCTTTGTGCTTGAAATGCAAATTTATTGTAAAAATAGAAACAGTGAGTCAAATACCAAGGTTCACACATATTTTCATGACTCCCGAGATAAATACTAATGCATATTAAGCGAATTTTATATAATAGTACTTAATGTTAAAAGTGAAAGGTGTTACAGTGTTGCAATACTAGAAACCGGTCTTATCTTCCCCAAATTACAGTTTCAGTAGATTATTTGGCAAATCCAAATCAAATTGTGTATGATACATACAATTCTGATGTACGAGTTTAACGAAAATATGACCTGGATTACGAAATTGCGAAACGATAGAAAATCCAAAGCATTCGGCTTGCTACAGTTCGTTTTGTTAACTTTCACGAAACAGAAGAATTCGAAACATCCATTTTTTGAGGCGGATAATTAATTTGTGCAACGTAATAGAAAGCCTTTTCGCCAAGGCTGGTAAGTCTCGAAGGTTCATGATTTCCACGTTGTTAATTTCTTAGTGGCCACTGGACAAATACACGTTTTAGATTTATTCATATCTACGTGTCAGCAAGTCTGAATTCATTAAAGGTTTATGCATGCATGCAAAGACACAGCGAAATGCGTGTACTGCCTTAATTATTCACGATACATTTATTTCAGAAAGTTTAATTTACATCAAGTGGATACTTTCAGCGTTGTGCTTTCTTTTGTCGAGAAAAAATTATTATTCGCCAATAAATTGGTGCGAAACCATGATTTGATCTTATGGAAATAATGAGAAACGTACCAGAGAAAGTATTTTTTTACGCCTTCAGTAAATAGACACACATTTTGTTGTTTGCTGTTCAATACAAATACTGCAACACAACGGTTACAAATTTTCATTCGTCATCACTTGGAATTAGAAAGTTATAGAGTTTAATTTCGGCATCTAAAAAAGTTAATAACCTATTCAAAACCAATTTTCGGGGTATAAAGCTTGAAATTGTATGGGCTTTACACTGTTTTTTGCACCGGACGGAGTAATCTATAGCAACATTAGCAACTAGGTCTAGAAAGCAATTAGAGGAACGTAACAAACTTTCTGATTCAAGGTGCACAGTTCAAATGTCCGCCAAAAGACGGGCAATACGAGGATGCCAGACAATGCGATAAGTACTTCGAGTGTGTGGATGGGATAGCAACCGAGAAGCTGTGTCCAGACGGCCTCGTCTTTGACCCCCTTATCCGCAAAAGGAACAAATGCGACCAACCTTTCAACGTGGACTGTGGCGATCGTACCGAACTACGTAAGTATGAGCTAAAGTTCCTTCCTGTACTGCACAGGGTGTTGTCTATAATTGTTTACTTGTAACATTTTCGGTTACTCTTCTTAATTGATTGGGCATTTCTGCCACTTAAGAGAAATACTTTAATGTTGTTTTAAATTTTTGATTTTATATTTTTCGTTTTACCGTACCAAAAACATCTCACACTGAGAAACTAGATTATTTTTCACGAGTACACTGAAAGAAGTCGACCGATAAAAAAGTTTTGCTAAGAGCTTAATAAAAATTATTTTGCTAAGATTTTACTACCTTTAATCTATGCTATATTAGACAAAAGAACACCTTCTTACTGTGCGTAGGTACATTTTTTACCATTTCATCCACTGAAAGGTAAGTCCATATAACATGTTGCACTAGATAAATCTCTTTTATGAGGCCTTCCTGTCAAAAATACATATATTCTATAATCAGTTGTTTTTACTCATTTTTTGAGCTATTAAGCTAATTCAGACAAATTTAAAAAAAATATATCAAATAAAGTCAATGTTCTTTGACACCCGACATCTAGGTACGCAAAAAACTTTTTATTAGCGCGTAGTAATCTTAGCTGCCGCGCAGACGCGAGAACTACATAGTACATTTTGTGTCCAATATTGCAACAGAACAAATAACGTATGCCAATAATATAATAGTAACCAACTATGCTTTGACTTTATGTGAAGGATAAAAACATAATGTAAAAGATTAGAAGATTAACATATGCATATGAAAGAGTATCTATGTTTAGCGACAGTGCTCATAGAGTTCATAAGTTGTCAACTTTGTCCTATAATTTTTGTTTTATATTTAAAAAGTTACAAGTAAGACGCGAGAGATAATGGGACTGTCCAATTATACATACATATTTTTTTGTAACTTTTTAAATATGAAGGGTAAATTTAAAAACAAAGTTAATCATTGAATGCTCTAAGTGCACTTAGTTATGTCAAAAAAAAAACACTTATTGGTGTGTAAAAAATCATTTATTTGAAGTAAGAAAAGATATTTGCCGGTATTGCCGCAATAAAAACTTTTGGCAACATATTATTTGTAATGACAGCGTGGTAATCTTTCTGAAGCCTATTTAAAACAGATATTTTGCAATGATTAATAAATTTCTACATGTGGCTAAATGATATTTCTCTCAGTGTACACAACAATGTATCTGCAATACATTGCACAGCTAATGTTTCGAGAAACTCTTTACTTCCTTTATCAAACTGAATTAAAGACAATTGATAGTTTTTTTATTCTATGAGATATCATACATTTATTCTGATATTACTTACTTCGTCGTTGAGAATATTCAACAAATAACTATTAAAATATAAGGAATCATTTTTCTCCGTTTAGAAAAATAGACGCGCACTCTTTTAGTTACCTTTTCAATGAATTATTTCCTTTTCTCAAAATTTCTTTATTATTCTACTGAATAACATCACTGTTTTGTACTTTATTAAAAGGGTATTAATTTAATTCAAAAATTTAGTTTTCTAAATTTCTCTAAAGATCTCGAAGTTTCTTCATCATTTTTACTATATTCACAAAATGCATATAGAATTTTGTAAAATAAATCTTGAATATACGAATATATAATATTTTGTTGGTATTGGTGCATTTGAAAATTATTTTCAATTTTTTTAAAATACTACACAGGGTGCAATATTCCAACGACTATTTCCTACAAGTAATTATTTGACTAAAATAAGAAAAAAGTTCATATGAACACTCTATTTTTCATTTCATTCATCATAAAATTTTAGTTTTTTCTTTAACTTTATTATTCTCATTAATTCTACACAGTTCCTTCACATTCGGCACATTCAACATTTTTTTAAGAACCAACGAATGAACAAATTACCGTTTGCAATAATCTACAGGGCGATACTTTTTCTGAAAGCAAGACCTTTTCAGTCACGGACTTTTTTTGTTACGAGAACACTAACTCTTCTTAGAAAAGACACCTTTTAACCTTGAACTTCTTGATTTCGTTGAATCCGTTGTATCTTTAATAGTTTGGCTGATATTTATCAATTACAGACTTAAAGTATCCGAAAATAATATCACCTAGTAAGTATATCAAAAACAAAGCATTTGCGAATCTACATTTATGTGAACCTTTTTTTCTTATTATATTATCGTCTATGGACTTAACAACAACACCCTGTAGAACTAAATGTAGAAAGAAAGAAACCAGTGATGTAAGATTTCAATTAATATACCCTGAGCTTTATTATTATCCAATTTTAGATAATGCTATGAAGATAATTAAAATAGATGATGGACGTGTTGTAAACATTCAACGTATTATTTTATTATTACATTCAATTATGTAATAAATATATTTTGAATTATATAATATTCTTAATTCATCAGTTATTCATCAGTACTAGGAAAGAGATCGTACAGCTTTAGAAATATATTTGACCAAAGGCGATATTTTATACATATAATTTACATTCTCTTATAAAAAGTGACTATTTCCATAAGGTTCACTATAAAGTGTATAATATGTTTGTCCCAAAATTCAGATTGTGTCTGCTATTATTAAAGAACCATTATATTTTCAGTTGCTTGTGCGTACAGATGTTTAAATTCATATAGTAGGTAAAATCCAATAAATATTAAGACACATTATAAATATACAATACAGGGCGTAATTAAAATGTCGTTATAAACATATTTCCGAACATATAGGGTATTCAAATGAATAAGAAAAAATGTATGTAGTGTCGCAATTTTTCTTCTCCCCTGATATTTCAAATTGAACTTACCATTATAATAGAGCAGTAAAGGCAAAAATATGTCTTTGCTGTATGTTGCTAGGGTGCACCATTTTTAAATAAAATAACAAACTGTCATACGTATAAGCAATTAATGTTAAAAGTGTCATGATATCGAATTTTTTAATCACAATTAGTCAATTATTTTGTACACTATTATAAATCTATTAATCTAACTCAAATTAATTCAAAATAATTTTAAACACAAAAATGCTTTATAATGAAGTCGAACACTGTTCTTTAATACTAAAAATCTAGAAATGCAAAATATATTTAACCCCAAACAAAATTGTTAAATAATGCAATCTTTCAAAGAAATATCTTGTATTTTTCTTTAATTTTATGAAAGGGACTTTAATAATTATAAATATTAATTCTGAATAGTTTCTAATAAATTTTTTCCCAATCTTTTTTTTTCCTAATGCAATATTTTTATATCGTATATGAAAAAAGCTTGCCTATATAGAAAATAAACATTTTTTTGTACGCGACAGGGCCTACTTAATTTTTCAGAAATGAAAACACTACAGAATATTCTTTAATCAAGCAGAATGGTTCTCTAACGTAAAAATGCCGCGCAAAAATTTTTGTCGTTCAGACAAATGGTTTAAAACGACCTGGGGACGCCTTGAATATTCTTTTTATTTTTTTTTTACAATAATTAACGTTTTTTTAATGAAGAAAATATGGATTATTGCTAAAAAAACATTTTCAACTCAAAAAAAATAAATAAAAAATGAAAAATTATTCGTAACACAAACGACAAATTTAAACATTCCGGGCACTAGAAAAAAAAAATCGCAGCGTTTTGAAACTGTCGGGGTTTCTGACACTTTGAGATTGAAAAATTACAGTCAATATCCATTATTTGCAATATTTTTCAAATATTCCTAATTATGCAATTCTTTACCTTTTTTCATTTCGAAAAAATTGTTTGTATAAAAAACTATTAATTACGATTTGTAAACAATAGTGTGAAGTTTTCAAAACCGTACTTGGATTTTCTGTACCATCATTATTTCCCGAGTAATTGATTGCCAAAGACAAAAATGACTTTTTTGCTTTGTTCGACAAATCACCGTACAAGGCTCCAGAACTGCTCAAATTGAGGGGGATTAAATTATCTAAAAGAGCTTTATGGTGAAAGTGTCAAAAAGGACAAGCAAAAATTTGGAAAAAAATGTTTTCGTTGGTTTTCTTATGACTCCTCAAAAACCGCTGACGCTAAGAAATTTTAAACTTCAGATCCGCAAACTAGAAACATGAAGCTTCAATTTCATTTTTTTAATTCTCCTTACGATCATTTCCCTCCAAGTTAAAGGTCTTTGAAAATCGCTAGAATATTTGGGATTTTAAGATGTCTTTATATAAAAATAGTGGAATTGTGGAAGTGAATAAACCAAAATGTTGTTCAAATTGTTAAAGCAAATATTTGACATGTATACCGAAAAAACCGACAAGTATACAGATTGTTCCATTTAAAGAACACAAGTTTGGTCTATATCTCTTGAGACCGTAATACAATTTTTTAAAACTTCAGTTTCTACAATTTTTTTTCTAGATGGAAGGTCAAAAAAGATATAGGAGTAGAATGTTATGTGAGTCTCCGTATACATAGTTTCCCTCTAATTCCCTTTAATTAATTTTGTACATTCTATATCTTGAAAACGTAGCATATTATAGGAACTTTTTTATTTATTTAATGTGATACAATTAAAGTGTTTTATTTACATCCTCTATAAAGGAAAATGTAATAAAAATTAATAATTTTAAATGAGCATGTCCAAAAATTGTCATAATAATGTTCACTCCATAGAGAACAAGAAATCGATTCTGACTCTCATTGTGGCTCCTGACCATCAACACGACAGCAGCTGAAACAGTACAAATTATTTACTGATCGATTTTGATGATAGCACTTACAATAGTGCCAGTCACCGTAAGCGACCTAGTTTTACTGTGAGTCACTGACAAAGGATCCATTCTCTTTGTTTATTAAATAGTTGCATTGGATTTAAAACTTAACATTTTCTTAAATGATTTAATCATTTTCACAGTACATTTTACGCATTTGCAACGCGTTTTTTCTCTATTTGGTTTCTTAACTTTTTCTCCAAACAGTCTGGTTAACTTCTAGTCTTTTCCAATTCATCGACATTTAAATGTAAATCAGATGCCACAGGATTCAAATTTAATGGCCTTTTAGTCACTGTTTAATAAATTATTGAAGCTTGTAAAGACAAAAAAAATCTGTAATATGAGACGTGGTTTTGTAGTGTTGAAATAATACATATTTCGCTTGTCTTTCTACCTACAACTATTTCATATGTCACAGATTTTACTGAACAATCCAATTCGTAATTTGTTTTAGGACTGAAAATAAAACATTCAGGTCCTAATTTTATTTTGTGATGTAGTTAAAAACTTGAAAAACACCCAAAGTGCAAATCTTTACTAGAAAACGCTCTTATCCTCTTGTGAGGACATTGATCACGTCTCACCAGCGTTTCTTTTTGCCTTTCCTTCGTTGTCCGAACAGGCTAAACAACAGCTTCTTCATTTCAGAGCCCCCACAGCCCAAAGGAGTCTGCCCCAGGTTAAACGGATTTTTCGCCCATGAAGATCCAGCCACTTGCAACAAATTCTACAACTGCATCCAGGGCGATCACACCGAAATCACTTGCACAGCAGGACTGCACTTCGACGAGTACTCTGGTACTTGCGTGTGGCCGGATGCGGCTGGAAGACAAGGTTGCAACCAACAAACCAGTAAGTTCATTTTGAAGACCAGTATCATCTATCTTCTTCTACATCTATTCTTCCCTTTCCTCTGCATTTGACAGACTATTCTGTCTTCATTCCTGCTAGTTTTTCTTTGTGTCAATTACCAAATTCGATTAAAATATTTCGTTTGCTTTCAGACACCCTTAAAGATGGCTTCAAATGTCCAACTGAAGGACAGAAAGATCCAAACGGAAACCTGGTCGTCCATCCTAAGTACGCCCACCCAACAGACTGTCAGAGGTTCTACGTGTGTTTGAATGGCGTTGAACCCAGGGATTTAGGTTGTCAAGTAGGTGAAGTGTACAACGAAGAAAGTCAGAGGTGTGATGCCCCCGAAAATGTAGCTGGATGGTAAGTACGCGTATAAATGTATAAAAAAATGTTCTTGTTTATTGTTGTCAGTAAGTAAGGATTTAAAATAGGTAGAAATATTTCAGGAGATGAGTAAGGGTGTTAATTTTTAAAAAAATATATCACGTCTACGCAAAAACCAATAAAAATGTTTAAGTAGACTAGTGACTTAGCAATTCGCCAAAGTACTGGGATACGCTATGATCCCAAACTCCAAAATTGCAACTCCACTGAGTGTTTTGAAAATCCAATCTGTTCATTTGATCTTCAACAGCATTTCAATCAAAATTAATGTGTATTCTTTTTCCAAATGAAATAGAAAGTACACTTTTCTTTGAAATATAGTTAAATGCACTGACAAATTTCCAAAATAATTAATAACCATCAGGTTACGAGGTTTTTAATGGTAATGTCGCAATACTTTCTAGTTACTGTTTTTGATTCAAATATATTTGAGTAAAAGCTATAATTTTCAAAACTTTAGCAGTATGTACCCGAAAGCTAAAGCGTTTAGGAAATTTTCTTTTTAAAATGATAAAAAAATCAGCTTCTGGAATTACACCATAACTGACAGGTTTTTAGTAACATTCTGTTATAAAGCTTGTTTTGGTAATGTTACAAATTAATGTAACAGGAAAAAAATATTTTAAAATTATACACAATTGTAACAGTGTTAACTATAATTCATTAATAATTTGCAGCTATCGATTACCAATAAATAAGAAATGTTGACACCATACTGATATCATTAATTTTTTGTTTCAAGCAAATGCGTTTAATGTAATTTGCTTTGTACAATTACTCACTAAAACTAAAGCGCATGTCTAGGTAAGATCGCTCAGTATCTTTTAAAAAATTTATATACAGAATTTTAAATAAAAACAGCATTGTGGTAAAGTATATTTTAGTAAATATATATCTTTTTATTTGGAAAGAAATTCCAAAACAGGGCAGAGCCTAATTGCAAAGCAGGTATGATGCAGATTAAAAAATAAAACAAATACTTACATTAGCATAAGTAAAACACAAATCGAAAAAATACGCTTGTGAACAAAAAAACAGACAGAAAACAGAAATTCTTCTACATCCGAGAACGATCTATAAGTACATAAATAAATATACATATATAAATAATACAAATTAAAAATAACATATATAAATACATAAAATAATAACTTATATCAAGATGGTTCTGATAACGGTGGTAATTCGAGCACATAACATTTATTGGGGCAAATTGAAGAATATTTGTTCTTTTTTTCTAATAAAATAAAATATTGTAGCGAGTTCTATATCCCAAAATATTAAAATTTAATTTTGACAGAAATAAAACAGAAAAATTCCTCGAGATGAATATACATACCTACATCAAATTTGAAACTTAGATATTTAAGAAATTGCCTCCGAGTCTTTTCTAAGCTGTTTTTATAAATATCATAGATTCCATACTACAATAGCATATTTAGAGAGAATTATTGAATAATATGGTAATTAATAGTATTCACCAAAAGCTGTTTAGAATTGCAAATGATAAACCTGAACAATTTTAGGTCGTCTGCATACAACAATGTATTACTGTCAATACTCAAATTAATATCATTTATAAATAAATTAAACGAAAGTGGTCCTAAAACCGAACCTTGAGGGACACCTGACATTACGTGTAAATTACAGACTTGAATCCATGGTACTGAACATGTACCTAATATTCATGAGACAAATAGAATTGCAAGAAATGAGTAAAATTTAGAGTCAAGCCATAAAAAATAATTTTTCTAGTAAAAAACCGTGGTCTTGTCTGTCAAACAGTACCTATATACATGCTACTTTCTACTACAAATATAGAGGTGGGTATGAATTGTAGAAATCAGTAGGACAATAGATGTTATTAAATTTTACTGCATTTCTTTGTGTAATTATACGAAAATTTTATACAATTACACATTTTTTTTGCACAAATTGGAAGACTAAACCATTTACATTCTTTTTTCAGCGAGGACTGGTACAAGGACGAACCAGCAGCAGGGCCACCAAGCAAGAAAAATTAATATGTGAATAGGTAGATTTTTTTTAATAATTGTATTTCCATTTATAAAACTAAGACATATCCTCCTCCGCTATAGGCAACTGATCTTACAAAAGCCACCCTTTAGTTGTATTTATTTTTTTACCTTCTCAATGTTACATAGAAACATAGCTGTAGGCTTAAAGGATCTTCCTGTATACACGCTCCGTTGTTACCAAGAGTGCTCTCTAAAAAAAACCTTCTGTCTAGTTTGTACTTGTCATAATGTAATTATTTTAATTTGTAAATTGAACTGATTTTTTTACATTATTTTTTATGTGTGAACCTATGTGTGAGCAAAGATGTTGTTTAATAATAAAATTTTTAAAATAAGCGTTTATCGATTGACTAAAATGTAACATATTTACGTTTAAAAATGGCACCTACCCACATGAATCTCCAGTTTTATGATCTCATAATTCTAAAGATATCAACGACAGATAAAGCGACAAACCCAAGTATAATTGTCATGAAAGATATTTTTCAACGGATTAAAAAGTAAATAGAAGAAGAACTAAATACGCCATTTTATCATTAATCGACTAAGAATATCTGCAGTAACCGCGAAATACGGAAATTACCAAATACCTACCAATTAAAGTTGTGAAGAAAAACTGTATCGGCACATTGTTTAGAATTCTGAGACATAATTATTTAATTTCATTCTTTTTTATTTAAGTAAGTGATAAATAAACTGACTAACCGTAAACTAGAGAAAGTAAAACTTAACCTTCAAATTGTAAATACCAGGAAACAAAATTCATATTCATGCCTATTTAGAATTAGGTAGTTATTTAAATGTGGGTACAAATTTGACAATAACCAAAAAAATTATAATTTATGGACATTTAGATACTGATAAACATTATTTAAAAAAAAATGCAGGTAGGTAAGTACTTTATTCAGGTATGTAGAATGTAATTCTTTCGCAGATCTAGATTTTGTTATTCCAGCTTACAAAGCGGATAATTTTAAAATACAATACATTGCAGTTTGAAACTTCTCTTAAACGAAGTAAACAATAGATCAAGTAACAAGTTTCGCAAGTTAAACTCAAGTAAAAATTTAGTAAACAACTTTTTACCAAAATAGCATTTTGTCAAAAACGAATAATTTCTATATAAGTTAGATTAAGTTATATTAGGTTAGGTTACATTAATACATACATATGAAAATTGAACCTGGCCTAACCTAACTTTAGTAAACAGAAATAAAGGCATAAAGTTAGGTTAAGTCAGGTTAAGTTTTTTTTCTCATTTGGAATATACTAAAGACCTAACTGAAGATGTCTATACAGTGCGCAGATTAAATTCTAACATAAAATCAAAGAATCAGAAACTCAAAGTTTGTAATTGTCTGCAATTTTAGTAAATATTTGCAATTTTTGCAATAGTGACAGCAATTTTTTATATATAAAATAATGACATCAAATGGCAAACGATAGAAGTTAAACGGAATATTTACTAATTTTTTACCCAAACTCAGCAATTCAATCAATTCAAGAAACCATTTTAATTTTTGGAAATCAGTACAAGATCAAGGAGATATAAACGTACGAATCTTTCTCGCTGATATTTCTTTACGTATATGATTTAACGATAAATATTTAATGTTGAAAATGCTAATGTAGAAATAGGATTTATTCACTTTATTGATGACATATTCATTACTTCATTGGCTGTGAAGAAATTTCAACATATGAGAAAGTCAGACTCGAGCTTTTTCCATTTTAGATGCATGACATTTTTACCTATTCTTTGTCACTTGAAAGGAATAAAATACTGAGAACTTTAAAAACAGCTATTTAGCTTTTAAATTTTTTTAAATGCAATTTAAATGTTGGTAAGTTTTGCAAAATTAGGTGAAAATATTCTTTTTTAAAAGCCTATATGTAAGAATTATGGCAAAATTCATGGAAACGCAATAAAGCAGATTTTATTAATTCTTTTAAATTGAAAATGTTTTGTATTTTAAAAATCCATATTTTTTTCATCAAAACTGTTAAATATATAAAATAAGATAAGATAAGATAAGATAAGATAAGATAAGATAAGATAAGATAAGATAAGATAAGATAAGATAATAAGATAAATTTATTAATTACTTTTTATACAAAGAGGTACAATTGTAGTAAGTCAAACATAATATATCAATAGTATAATACTATTGATAGGTACTATAGGTAATAAGTACAATAATACACAATGTATAAAACAAAAAATAACAGAGTAACAAAACTTACATAACGACAAAAGTACAATTAAAATAATCAAGACAAAAAATAATTAAAAATTTAAAAACATGGTGGTAGCACTCAAATTGTTTTTATTCGGTGCAGGAGTAGCACCGAATAAAAACAATTTTCGAAAAGATATTTCCTGATACTTAAAATATTGTAAAGATTTAGCTGAGGTGCATTTATGGATGATAGATTTAGTCGAAAACGAGGCGGTCGCAAATAACTAGTCTGTCGAATATTATGATAATGTACATTAGAGTTACAAACAAATGTATTAATATTTTTGTGTATTTCCAAAAGCTGGTAAAATATAAAGAGAGTCGGTAAAGACATTGCCCTCAGTGTTTTAAAATAAAGCTGACAGTGGTCCAAAAACTGTGCGTTAGCAATTAACCTTATAACCTTTTTTGCATTCTCAATATCTGTATAGCAGAGGAAGAGTTACCCCAGAGAGTAATACCGTACCATAAATGAGAGTGGAACAATGAAAAACATACTTTTAAGAGAACACTTTGACTAAAATTTGGTTTTAATTTACGAATAATAAAAAAATAAAACGACAGTTTTTTCTTTAAAGAATGAACGTAAGGTGACCAACATACTATCATCCATAGTCAAACCCAATAATTTATTTTCCAATACATTTACATCAAATTGTAAGGAAACTGCATTATTATTGCTACAGATCAAGGATGTATTATCAGAGTAGAGAATACACCNACAGTTTTTTCTTTAAAGAATGAACGTAAGGTGACCAACATAACCTATCATCAATAGTCAAACCCAATAATTCTACTGTGGATCCATTTGTAATATTATTATCCGAGGAAAACATTATACGTTGGGTTTTATCCAAATTTAATTTAAGATTATTATTTGCGAACCACTCATTGGCTTTATTTTCCAATACATTAACATCAAATTGTAAGGAAACTGCATTATTATTGCTACAAATCAAGGATGTATCATCAGCGTAGAGAATACACCTCTCAGGAGACAAATAGAGAGAAAGGTCATTCATATAAATTATAAATAGTAGGGGCTCCATAACCGAACATTGAGGTACCCCGCTCTCTACTGCAGTCAGATCAGATCTATCAATTTTTAGAGCAACACATTGCTTTCTAGAAGTAAAGTAAAATTTGAATAGTTCTAACTGCATCCCCCTAATACCATAACGGAAAAGTTTATCAATGAGGAGATCATGAGAAATGTAATCAAAGGCCTTGCTAAGATCACATAGGGTAAGCCCAACCAGCTCTCAAGTCTCTCTACCACGCAATTCACAACTTGGGAAATGTCGAAAGACCTTCTCTAACGCCAAATTGACAACTGCCCAATAACTTGTTCGAAATAAAGTAATTTATAAAACACTTCTTAATTATTATTTCAAATATTTTACCAAAAAATGGTATGACCGAGATGGGAAGAAAGTTATTGGGAAAAATTACGTCACCTTTTTTAAAAATAGGAACCACTTTTAGATTTTAAAAATATTAGGGAAACTGCCAGCTGATATGCACTTATTATAAACATCTGTCAAAGGTCTTACAAGTAAATCGGCAAATTCTTTGATGAAAAAACTAGAGATGTCATAAACATCGGAACAGTTGGAATTTTTCAGTTCTCTTATCGCATCATACACATCATACTCAGAGATAGGAAAAAAGACAAAAGAGGAAGAAACCGCTGGAATTCTATTTAAACATTCACGCAAAACAACACGAAAGTTATTCGGTTATTGTTTTAGCCACAGAAGAAAAGTAATTGTTAAATTCAGAAACTGTGATATTACTGTCTTTGGATTGTGATTTCACATGGAGTGTTCTAAAACGAATTATAAACTACCTCGATAATAAAAATCTATATAATTCCAGACAATGCGGCTTTTGAAACAGTCTGTTAACAACTTTAGCCATAACCAAACTAGTATCAGAGATTAATATAGGATTTGTACCTACAAAAATAATGTAATGTTCCCAATTCATTGATCATGGCAAATCATGTGACTATGTGTCTCATTCAATTCGCATAGACAATTTTTTTTCGATCTCACAGCTCACACTGTAGATTTTCTATATTGATACCTCAATAATAGACAGCAATACCTATGTCATCCATAATAATACTACATCAACAATTCATTCTCGGTGTAAATGCGGAAGTACCACAAGGTTAGGTTCTTAGCCCGACTTACCTTGTTGTGTGAATGATTCAGATTTAACTGCCCAATTTGCAGATGATCCAATCCTGATCATTTTTGATGGTTTAATAAAAAAGACTCGTCCAGTTGAATTACTGATCACAGATACCGTAATATTTAGCCAAAGAGAACTAAAGATACTTAAAATCCTAACACAGTAATTTTTTAAGGGTACATTTAGATCCTAAATTATAATGGGATTGTCATACTAACTGCATATGACGAATATATCAAATAATGTATATCTCCGTAACCTGAATCATGAACTGTCATCACAAACTTTGAAAAGAGCTCATCACAGCTTCATATAGTATATAGTGTATCATCAGATGCATTTTTGATATGGATCCACTCTACTTCAACTGCAGATGTATTTACTCTACAAAGAAAAGCAAAAATTCTTCGAGCTCAGAATATTGACATTGCTTTGTCTATATATTGCATACAATGTCCATTACACATAAAGAACAATTTAGTATGAAAAGTATGAGTACTATGAGAAATGAGACTCATTGTCAATTTACCAAAAGTAATGATACTTTTCAAAACCCTTATTTAAGACTCATGAAAACCAAATGATAGAATTTTAAAATGTATAAGCAAAAACAATTAAAGATTTAAATTGAAAAGACTATATTCAGAGTAAAGAAGTTTCTGTTTGATAAAACATTCCTTCTGAATAAATTGATGAGTAAAAGTCCACAAGAATTCTTGATCAACAATTTATCCATGAATCAATTACTATTTTATTACTTTAATACTATTTTAACTAGGTATTTCCTTATTTATTTTAAAGTATATTGTAGTATTTTATATTTATATTTATTTTTTTCTTACTTTGCATTGTTCTATTTTATTTGACTTATTATATTTATGTATTGTATAGTTGTGTTTATTGTACATTATGATTTCAATAAAAAAAACTAAACTATCTAACATTACTTTCGCAATACTAATACCTAGTCTTTTCTTTCGTCAATTAACAAACGCAGATAACACCTAGCTTACTAGATATTTTATAATAGACCTCCCACTGAAAGAAAACACAAAAGTTATCCAACAGCCACAAAAATGAGAGTAAGTCTCGGTAGGTGGAGTATAATGAACCGGTACCATTGCAAGACACAGATATCCGATCAATCTCGCTAGGTACACATCCAACATCTTACCATACCCACTGCCCACTGCGATGCATTCGGGGTAAAAGTCGGTTACGAGTTGCTTTCTTCCAACTGCTCCATTTTCACGCAGCTTTTCGCCCGTTCTGTTTTACCAACAGCTGAATTGTGACCCCACTGTTCGCGTCTAGTGTTTATATTCATCGACAAAATGCTCAAGTGTGTTATAGTTTTCGTTTTCGTAACAGGTGAGTTTACTCGAAGCTTCTGGTGAGTTCTTACGTCCTTTGTTTACGTAATGAGCTGTCGGGAATCGGTCGTTTGTCATTTTTAGTGGTGCAGCCGATTATATAAAATTTTATTTATGCAGCACTTCCTGCTACTTGGCAGTCATATTAATAAGATACAACAAACTATTAATATTAAGTAACTGTACTTTGCCGTAATAAATCGAATATTTCTAGTGCCTGCACAGACTCCCGGGTAATTAATGGTAATACGAAAGCATTCAACATAACAAAAAACGCGTTACATAAATAGTTTCAATCTAAATTTATGTGTTGATTTAGACGCAAAACAAGTAAACGTTGCACTGTTTCGGCGGAAGTTTAATTTAAAAAATTTTTGAAAGCATAAAAAATTGCACAATTAACTAGAAACCTAAATATAATCAGATTGGCAGTAGTAATTTTAAAGTCGTTCGCCAATTTCTACGCTTACAGAACGAAAAAGAATGTTTATTATCGCCATAACCACCGTTTGTCAAACAAATTATTATTCCGCTTTTATTTGTAACAAAAAATTAATATGAAATAGTAAAAAAATGTTTCAGTTATTTTATTTAACTTTTTTAATAAACAATTGTACTGTTATTGTTCGATTTCAAGTACCGATATATTAGAGTTAGATAACGAAAAGCAAAGGAAATAGCTATCTATGTATGTAGAAACAAAAACAAAAGTCGTATACAAAAAAATTAATTAAAAAAGTATTAACATATTTTATCGAGTATTGGCAAAATAACTGCTTTCTAACTTTTGTTTCCGCATTTTTTTAAAACTTATATTTACTTAATGGTGCACCAATTTCAAGCCTATTAACGATTCATTCACCCGAGTAGATATGTTAAAATTAAATTGAATTTTGAAAAACTGGCAATCTTAGTAAAATTGTTATTCAAATATCTGTTTGGATAATGATCTGAACAAAGAACATTTCTATCCCTTGCGTACAAGAAATTTCTGCCATTTTGACACCAAATTTAAAACGACTGGATTGTTTTAGAAATTAAATGTAAAACTGGGTATTGGGATTATATTTTCAATTAAATGGCCAAAAAATAATTTCTAAATTTTAGCCAAGGGTTGTGCATAGACATTTCTGTAACTTTTTATATGCAATTTTTGTACTTCTTATAAACACAAACACATTATACACATTATAGATTTAAAAAAATAAATAATTGGCCAATTTTACAGCAAAAAGTTGCATTTGTATCATTTCACCTTCTTTGGGAAGTATAACTTATTTAAGAATGACGTTACTTGCCATAAAAATGCCTCAGCAGTAAACCACTTGAGTGGTATGGTAAGCCATGAAAAAACAGGGGCATCGTTTATTTAGAAATATCGATATGCTTATATAAAAAGTATCGAATTTGGTATTACAGGAAATTAATATTTCAAATACCTGGGAAAACAAATTCTTACAAAAATGGAAACCAGTAAAATAAAAGTACAAACATTGTGTGTGCAGAGATATGTAGGTGTGTAAATTTACGTAAGTATGCAAGTAGTGTATGTAGATATGTTGGTATGTCAGTGTGAAGATATGTGTGTAGATGTGTAAGGGTGTAGGTATGTAAGTGTGTAGATGTGTAGATATGTAGGTATGTCAGTATATACATAGTTATGTGTGTAGATGTGTAAGTATTTGTAAGTATGCAAGTGTATGTAGGTATGTTGGTATGTCAGTGTGAAGATATGTATGTAGATGTGTAAGGGTGTAGGTATGCAAGTGTGTAGATGTGTAGATATGTAGGTGTGTATATGTGTAAGTGTGTAGGTATGCAAGCGTGTAGATGTAAAGTTATGTAGTATGTCAGTGTGTAGATATGTATAGATGTGTCATCTGATTGGGTGTATAGGATTGTTGTAAGTTTATAGATGTGTAGGTATGTGTAGGTGTGAGTAAGTATGTGGTGTATAGGTGTGAATGTATATAGGATATGTATAGGAGTGTAGACATGTAGTTGTGTAGGTGCGTAGCTATGTAGATGTGTAAGTATACAGTAGTAGGTATGTAACGTAAGTAGGTACGTTGGTATGTAGGTATGAATAGGTGTGTAGATGTATAATAGGTATGTAAATATGTAGATGTGCAGCCGGTTGTAGTGTATAAGTATGCGTGTGTGTATGTGGTGTGTATATCACAATGTAGTCAGCAGTTTCAAATGTGTTTTCGTTTTATTGTGCTAACTCAGTAGTATTTCAGTTTGCAAAAATATTTCTGCTAATCGAGATGTCCCACTTCAATTTATTTATTCTTGAAATATCCTATAAACTTCTATTATGCAAACATATTATAATCTTGAAGTAAGTAAACTTATTTTAGTTAAATAAATACATGCTGAGTGAATAAACTAAGTTCATTAATTAGATTGATGATTGAATGATGATTCAAAATAATAATTTACTTCTCTATATTTTGAACAATTAGTTTTGAACGTTTCTGTAATTTGCTGTCAATTAAAGTAATCGATTATTTTTAAGATGTAGTATGGATGGATGTAAGTTCATAAGTTCATGCCTCATAACATCTTCAATGATTTAGTTAGATATTTAAAACCTGTTTAACATTTACCAAATTCTAATTCAGGTCCAAGATATTGTCATGCATATTTCGCTACATTGGTGGTACTTTTGATTTATAAATCGGCCAATTTCTCGATCAATTTTTTAAGTAAAAAATTAGTACCTAAATGTAAAACAGATTTAAGTCTGCAACTTTAATAACTCAAGAAGAGCACTTCCCAACTAACTAAAAAGAGATAATCTTAGCGTTTTTTTTTACGAAATATCATGCAGTTTACCTAATTTACCACTTTAATTTGTCAGGAATCAGCGCCCAGTTCAAGTGCCCCCAGCGGACAGGCTTCTTCCCCGATCCAGAAGAATGTGACCTGTACTACTTGTGTTCCCAAGGCGAGTATGAGGAGAAACTCTGCCCGGACGGCCTGGTCTTCGACGACAAAGACCCCAATCACGAGAGATGCGACATCCCCGCTAACGTGGACTGCGGTGACCGAACGGTGTTACGTAAGTCATTGCACAGCTTAAATAATGTAATCCTATAATTAATCTGTTGCCGTCTATACTAAAAATGATTGCATCACGGAGCGCTCAATGTCTAATTATGCAGGCACGCAAAATAAAAAAAGTGGGTTGACCAGGAGACCTCACTAAGCTCTCTATATGCTGAATCCGTTGTTAGTTTTACTCCGGCAAGGTTTGAGTAAATCGTAAATGGCGAAAAATCCCAAAAAATATATTGTGGAAAAGCCTTAATTTTATGTATTTTAATGCGCTAAACACCAGGAAAACTTCCTGCTCCACAAAAATTGTTCAAAGTTGTTTCCATGTGCTAATAAACATGCCTCCAAATGACGGTCAAAATTCTAAATGTTGTGAAAATTTAATATGGTCTCTAGTAAAACAACATTCATCCATAAAGAGCACCTTGCTTGTAAAATCCGGATCTCGTGCTATGTCGAAACCACTGGCAAAATTCCACACGGAGTTGAAAATCATTTATATTTAATGCCTGAACCCTTTGTAGGGTTGTAGATAGGGGTGTAATAATAATTGTTCCCGTAGTACACGCCATACGGTACTGTTCATACCTACTTCTGAGCTAATGTCGCGAGTACTGCGCCTCAGATCTTCCTCAATGAGGTATATGATGTTTTCTTCGTTGTCGAAAACACGTTGTGGCCGTCATATGTCAGCTGGACATTCTCGGTATCCCGTAACCTTTGAACTGCCTTTTGCACTGTTCTATTATTAGGTCACATTAAATTAAATCACATTTAAATTGCACTGACATTCTCTATACATTACTACCATATCTGCTAGTTTTTTATCAGAACACATTTTATACGCCAGCTAAGTAATACTACAATACACAACGCACGTGCACAAGATGAACAGGGTCGACTGATATTTATGGTTAATTCTCTTATTTAATTTTCTCGAAAACAGAAGCATTTAGAGAATCAGTTGCTTAATAAAAATTGCTCATTTTCGTGCCCATTAACACCTTTTTCAAAGAACGCACATATTTCAGAAACACCCTGTATTTTGGAAAAAGTCGGAAATTAAAATTCTGTAATTTTGAAAGGAAAAACTCAAACTCTAAACTGTTCCTATGTTTGTAACAATTGTAACGTACTCTTTTGTCCTCGAATGACCTGGGATTCGAACTCTTTTCGAGCTTATTGTCTTCAGCTTCTCTCTTCAGTAACCAACACAAGTCCTCCATCAATTAATGGAAGCGTTCAACCTACTCCTCGTTATAATCACCTATATTTTCAGGAAAGTAATTCAGGTGGAAAATCAAGAAATTAATTTTTACATTCATTAAACACTAAGTATTCGTATCTTCATATCATTTCTGCTGCAATAGTATCGTAGTCTTCTTTCAATTTAGCATCCATTAAATTGACTAGTTAAGTGTTGAAAACAACAAATTGTTTCATCAGACAGTTTTATAATGAACTGAGTATGCTATATTTAGGGAATTGTAACATTGTAATTCTCTTCATGTTTCTTTCTGTAGAGATTGGTTCGGTATCGACTATCCCATAGACACAAGAAGCAGGAACATTTGGCAAATCCTGACTGCTGCATTGCTGTCCCAAAATGATTGACATGGATTTCAAATTACCACAAACTTAACAATTATACTGTACTATACACATTTAGTTTTCTACAGAACGGATCTCATGTTTTCACAACTTTCTTTTAATATGGTTGAATGTGCAATGGGAATACGTGTGCGTCTTTATTTCCATTGTATAGTAGCCCTGTTTGAAAGAATCTATGAGAATCTTCATTTCTCGGATTTATAAACGTTAGGTTTCAATTCATTTATCAAATCATAAACATTTGTACAGTACACCAAAGAGCCACCATCCATAAAGAAATATTGATAAACTTCCGAAACTCTTTTTCTCGATATCTGTAACCACCAATCTTTGACTCTTTAGTTCTGCAGTCAAAAATTCAGCCGTATTTTTGAAAACAGTATTTGTCTAATTAAATTAATCAACTCCAGATTACATAGATATGGACGTATTGTTTCACTTGCCGGAACGCATCCGTCTTCACTTCATTCTGCTTCATCTTTTGCTTCAATTTCATTCTCTTCTCTTTCCGCTTCAGCAGAAATATCTCACACTAAGGAAGTAGGCAGTCGAAAACTCTCTATCACAAAGTGTATGATTTCATTTTTAAAAGACACTCTAAGTGACTTAAAATTAAATGTGACAGTTTTTTGTTTTGTTCATCTACCTTCCAGAAAGAATAAGATATCACGTAATATGATTTTTCAATTTCACAAAACTCAATTTTTGCTTCAGAAATCGAATTTGACATACTATAAGTAGAGAGAACATTCAACGTTATTAGGCAATAAACAGTCAATTTATATGCAGAGAAATTTATTTGGACTATAAATTATTGCAAAGCTAACCATTAAGCAGATGTTTTGTTTCAATTTTAGTAAAATACATTGCAAAAATTATAAAAGAAAATTGTTTATGATTGCTACATAAGATAATATTTGCGTTTACGTAAAAACTTTCTTTTTAAAATGAATAAATTATAGAAATAAGGAACTGGCATATATGAAATTGGCACAACACAAAAATATGAACAAAATATTTATATTTGATTATAAAATAAATATTTATTAATAGATTTTTAAGTATTTTAGATAGATTCTAGTATAAATTGCTCAGATACAGACCATAGTCGTACTACTTTTGCACCTAAATGGGGTATTATTATATATTCAAATTAAATTCTTTTAAACATATTTAATCTAGTAAATGGTAATAACTAGCAAAAGGACGTAGACAGATAGATATTTATTGGACCACTGTATACATTTATATAAATGCGGCATGTCAAATTTCAACGGAAAAAACAATACAAATACATCAAATTAGTTAAAATATATAAATACTATACAACAATTTCACTTTGATGAGACACATTTCATGTTTTTTTTTACTCTGCTAAACCGTTTTCTTCAATCTGGTATGCTTTAGTTACCTTCTTGCGTTTTTCTATTAACGCAAAATCTCTGTCGCAGGGCATGAAGCTACTACCACTTACAAGAAATTTAGGTTGCGCTTTCGGGATCTTGAGAGTCGATCGTGTCTTGCTTTAACACCTCTCTAGCTCTCTCAGTTTTGCGATGATGAAGCGCCAGCTGAGTTTTGGCAGATTGGCTTGACTTAATGTTAGCTCTAATTTGACAGTCAAGTTTGTCGCATGTGCTACAAGTATCGACTCGTAGTCTATGGAAACATAGGTTGGGAAAGTCCTTTACGAAAACAGACCTATAAAATTTATAGATGACTATCGAATCTGGGTGCATTTGCAAAAAGGCTTTAAATAGTCTGTGAATATTCAAGTCAGGGCTAATGTACTTCTTCTCGGATTTAGGCCTTGAATAATGACCAACTTCCCTTGAGATCATGCTAATGTGGGTGCTCTTTGAGATAATTTTTTTCAGGTACTATCCAGTTTTTATATGTTCTTTATGCTTTTCCACTTGATTTTAAACGCTTTTGTTCACTACCGAATGAACCACTGCCTTTACTTCTCCTTATTCGTTGATTTTCTTCCATTTTATTGCACATAAATTTTAACAAATGACTCCGAACTGCTAATGTTGCAGGAAATAGCTACTCTATGGAATCAGATAGAAAAACAATTATAATGGATCCAGTCATGTCCAGAAGTTTTTGACACTGTCCTTTCAAAGTGTCATTTTTTTGTAATAGTTTGAATAGTTTGAAGTTGAAGCTGCCTGATGGTGAAACAATCTCAAGTAAAATGTGTAGTCTTTGGCAAGGCTAGCACAGCATGAATACAGGATGTTTCTTTGAATAATTGTATTATTTTATAATTTAATATTTATGTGTTTTTGTATTAATTATATTTAGACATATCATTTTTAATTTTTATTTTGCATAATTATTTATTATTAACTATTTAATGAGTATTAGTTTGGTGTAATTCAAAACTAGTTGAGGCATATAACCCATAGAGTAGTTAGGAGTCTTTTCTGTGGGGACAAACACAATACATTTTTCCCTAGAGCTGTTATGATATATTTCAAAATAACTTTCTCTGAACAAAATACGCATAGTCGATGTAAAACACAAAGCAATATTTAAAATTACTCAAATACACCCTTGCTATGTTTTTCAAGGAATCTATAATGAGCTTGCATACTCTTTCTCTTTTCCAAATATTGTACAGTGTTATGAATGTTAAATAATCTACTTTCACTGTTTTTTTCTCACTACGTTCATTGCTGTTTACTTCACGCACAATTGCTGAAATATGCTCCACTTTCTACAAGGTTACAAGTTATCTAACGAGTTCGCAGAATATTTTGCAATTTGTGCGAAGAAGCAAAGTCAAGCTCAGTTCATTTCCCAACTGTCAGTATGACATTTGGAAGTTATTACGTTCTCATGAGGGTCAATAGTCAATAATTGCAACAGAAGTGATGTAATCGTCGTTTGCGTTTTATTTATTCTTTTCTTTGTTAGTAACAAATTAAAATGCAGAAATCTAAATGAAAAAATATTTAGAAACTAGAAAAAAATGAGATATACAACGAATTTTAAGTCACATTATAATAATTTGTGTTAATGAAAACAATTTTAATTATTAACTGACATGCCCCTCCAAAAGTTAATAAATCAATTAAAATATTAAATACGCATTCATAGTAAGGAAGCCCTCTTAAATTTTTTATATTGGTTTACCTTAATATTTCATGTATGTCCTTAACTCAGTTACAATACCATTGACACACCTTAACGTTTAAGATTCTGGTTTTCAAGTAGCAGACTTTACCCCTTGAGAGAGAAATATTTCAGACACTTAATCTTGAGAATTTCTCATGACCTAGATGTTAAAAAATTGTATGCATACCTACAGCTACTTCGAAATTAATGCTAGATAATTAAATTAATTTCACGATTACCTACTATGACTATAAAAGTGTTTAAATGATGTTAAACATATTTAAATGAAATATTTACTGCTTTCTACTACAATTCTTCAAAATGTTGGGACGTTAAAAAATGATTAAAGGTTTCCAGAGGCTTTAAGATATTATAGAGACAATAATTGAATTCAAGTGAAAATATTCCTTATAACCAACATAGGCACGATTTGAAATGTTTGATATAATTTTATAATATGCAAATTAAGTAATTATGATTTATTTCGAGGTTACAGATTTTTTTGATATATTGTATATTAATAACAGCGTTTACTAGCAATGTAAAAGCTAGCTTTACAGTTTACAATATCTGTCAAAATGTTTTCAATATATTTAAAAATATGTGACTAGCCTACACAAAAAGTAAGATAAGTATTAAAGATTTGAATACATATTACACAGACAATATACTATTTTATCTGTGATATTACTATACCTAATATGAAATAGATGGAACAAAAAAATATTAAAACAGTAGCGAATCTGTCCATTTATTTACTATTTTATGCCTGTTTTTAACCCCCTTTTAATATTATATAAAATTAAAAAGTTATTTAAGAGTAACCATTTTGGCGTACAAAAAAACTACACATGTTATGCAGAGATTAATATCGTGATTTTTTTTTCAGAGGAACCAAAACCCAGTAAAGGGTGTCCAAGGGCCAATGGTTACTACCGCCATCCAGACGCAAATGCTTGTGACAAGTTTTACAATTGTGTGGATGGAGAACCAAATGAATTAGCTTGCCCGCCAGGTTAGTTATATGTGTTTAATGGTTAGGTATATTAACTAATTGCTCTGCTTTCAAAGTAGATCTCCAGCCACGCATTCAGGCAAAAGCTTAGGAGAAACTGAAGTAGAGACAAAATCAGTGGATTATTATGAGTGAATCTGTTGTAATATTTTGTATATGAGTTTACAAAGATGACTTTCTAAAGGTAAAAGGAATATTTTTAAATAGCTACAAAAATTAACTGCAACTTTTGCGAAAATAATAAAGAATTCAAAACTTTAAGATTTATTTTACTATTAAAGATGAAGTCACTATTTACTGTAATTCTTCAAGTAATTGAACACATTTTATAATAACAAAATATAGGTACAAAATGTTCGTTAAGCCTAAAATTGATTAAAAAAAAAAACAAAAAACATATGGTTTGCTTCTACCAAATGTCACATTTAACTGTTCAGTCATTCCAGTAGTGGATACTGAAATAAAATTATATACTCTTACAATATTATTTTTTTTAACAATGTGGAAATTATTTTAAAATTATCTACTAAACAAAATTTAAAATGTTTGTGACATAAAAAAAAGATTTTTCTATCTTACAAAATAAAGTAATAATAATAAATACATATGATTGATACCAATTTTTACAATAATCTCTTATAAATCGATATTTTATTTAAATATGTGGCATTTCTAGTTATCGTAAATAACGTTTAATCATATTTAATGTAAATCAAATTTATAAAACTAATTTGTATTCGACCTTGATATTATATGAAAATAAACTATGGACAAAGTATTTATAACACATAAGTATACATCATAGTATCTATACATAGATACAAGTCAAGTAGCATTGCAAACTAAAAGTAATTTTGATACCTAAGTATGTATAGTTACTGATATTGCCTGAAACTATTTATTATACTTTATATTATTGTAATCTGTAATGGTGAGGAGGCGCTTCATCAAATATGTAAAAATATAAATAGAACACCCTATGTGTTCTGTCGAAAACATATATAAATTCGAAAGTTCAACTTTTATCATCAAAATGCAACATAAAACTGTTTTTCCTAAGTATAGTTTCGAAATTACAAAAAGTGAGATATATGTTTTGATTTTGTACAAATATTCTTTAAATAAAATAACAAACTTCCCGCTAGTCCAGAATGTATCAGGGTGTATACTAATTTTGACCAAAAAATTGCGTTTATCTTCCAGGTTTTTCAAGATTTAAAAAAATTTTGTGAAGAAATAAGTCCTACACCAGTCCTATCATTTTCCAATAATCACTATTTCCTAATCTTTTTGTCGATATTTCCATTGTATATTTAACAAAGTATAATTATTTAAGAAGTTATGAAGTGACTGACACAATATTTGCAAAAACTGTTAATTATTTTCATTCAAATTCATTCTTTTAACCTTGTCTAATGAAGCCAAACAATGTTCTTCGATACTGGAAATAAAAGTGTACAAAAGATATACATGGTATTTCTTAATAACGTGCTAATATTTAAGGAGGTTATTCTTGGGTCCATTTTAAGAAAAAACCTTCATATGAACATATGTCCTAAAAGTCTTAATTTTTGAACTACAGGGTGCTAAAATTTTATGCAAAAACATTTTTTTATGATAACTGGTATTACCCTAGATATTTTTTCAAATTTGGTGCACGCCTTCTATTTATCGAAATGCATTTTTTGATGTACAAACAATTTTATTATTTTTGCGTTTGTACAGGTTTTGTATTGAATATTTTTGAAGAAAAATATGTTACGCCATTCCAAAATGTTACATACATTTTGGAATGGCGTAACATATATTACTGTAATTTCATAATTTCAACGTTTAAAAGTCTTAAATCTTAAATAAATTATTGTTCAAAGTTACATAAATCTTTTTTTTTTCTCGTAAGTGGTTCAATAAGATGCAAATGAATGAATTTTATTTTTTATGTGAAAACCGTACGTCAAGCGAAAAAAATTCAAGACACCACATTTGCTCAGGAAGGAACGAGGATTTCAAAAATGATTTTACTTTACTTACTTTAAGAAAAAGCAGTGGCGTAATATATTTTTCTACAAAAATATTCAATACAAAACCTGTATAGACGCCACTGACAAAAATAATAAAATTGTTTGTACATCAGAAAATGCATCTCGATGAATAGAAAGCGTGTAAATTTGAAAAAAACATCTAGGGTAATATCAAAGCTATCATAAAAAAAATGTTTTTTCATAAAACTTTAGCACCCTGTAGTTCAAAAGTTAAGAATTTTAGGACATATGTTCATATGAAGTTTTTTCTTAAAATTGACAAGAATAACCTCCTTAAATATTAGCACGTTATTAAGAAACGCCCTATATAATCCCAAAGTCATAAGACTCCCAATTGCTAATATTGTAACTACTATATATGCTATACCTATGCCCCAACTAGTATTGAATCATATCAAGTCAATACCTAGAAAATAACTAGTAATAAATAATTATCCAAAATATAAACTAAAAATGTAAATATAGTTAATATAAAACACGTACCTGATAAATTAAAATTATTAACTAATGCAATCATTCAAAGAAATATAATGTACTCTTCCTATTATCACCCTTGATAAAGACTAATTATGCAAAGGACAGTTGCTCCCGAGACATATATTTATTTCCACATTTTTATTTACGGTTTAAGAAAAAACACTTTCTTCTATACTAAAGTGATTTTACATATTCTAACTAAGTAAACAATTGTATGCCACCACGTGCTCATAAAAGTATACAGAGACACATTAAGAAATATGGAAATATTTCACGGAATATATACTCTAAAATATATTCATAGAATATATTAAGAAAATAATAAATGGATTACAGTTACCCATTTTTATGTATCCGTGCCAGCGACTTCATCATGCCATTATTTGCTGCACATCTTAAATTAATCCAAAACATTATAAAAACGCAATAAAATTAATTATATAAGTGTATTATCAAGTGGTTATTAATTACAAAGAAATTATTGTAACTTAAAAAACATGAACACTAATGAACTGACCGATATGTTGCAAGTATACTTTTAATGTAATAAAAACAGTGCCTAAGCAGAATGTCTGTATGCAAATCGGTTTCCAAACAGAGATGTTCCACGGCGACGAAAATTTAAAAGATAATCTCAGAATGTATGGTGCTTTTAAAAAGCTTAAAAATTCGCAACGCATTTTTAATGGTCCTGTAGAATTAGACGTTTTGCTTAATATTGAGGAAAATAGTAATATTAATTCTTGAAAAGACACAGTACACAAAATCTTAAAAAAACACAAATTTAAATCAAACATACCACAGAAAGTGCAAGTGTTAAAAGATAACGATCGTGTCGAAGGGAGCAATTTTGCCATTTTTATTTAAATATGATACAACAAGACGCAGGATTTTAGAGAAAGTTTATATGGTCAGATGGGTGTACCTTTAATAATAATGGCAATTTTAACCGAAATATCCATCGATATTAGAGTCAAGACAATCCCAGAATAACTTGAAACCAATTACTAACGGAGATTCAGTGTCAATGTTTGGTGCGGTATTCTAGGTAATCGATTAATTGGACCATTTTTCATCGATGGAACTCTAACTCAAGACAAATATCGTAGACTCTTGTCAGAAAATCTTGCAAACTTTTTGGATACCTTACCGCTTGCAGAAGTGTATAGGATTTATTTTCAACAAGATGGTGCTCCCCCGCATAATGTTAGAAGAAACACTAATTTTGATGAAAGGTGGATTGGCATGACTGGTTCTGTTCGATGGCCCGCCCGTTCTCCTGACCTCAACCCCGCAGATTTTTTTTGTTTTGGGGATATTTTATAGATCAAGTATTTTTGATACATCCGGAAAATGTAGATATTTTAAGAGAGAGGATTATAAATGTTTGCCGTGAAATATCTCCAAACTTAATATCAAATGCTACGTATGATGTAGCCCAGAAGATGTCAATGTATTCAACAAGATGGAAGACAGTTCGAACAATTTTTATATAGGTTTTTTATTGTTACATTTTTGTTTTGTAGTTGATTTGGTACCTATTTGTTTTGCTTTGTTGTTGTTACTTTAGACATAGCATTTCTCTAATACATTTCCTAAAAAAATATTTTTTCCATAAAATATTTAACAAATATCAAGTTGTAATGTATCGTTGACTGCAGAAAAAATATCTCTATCGAACACGCCAAAAAAAACAATAACTTGGACATTTAAGAAAAAACAATTGAAAATCGCCTAACGTTCTGATGATGGCAAAAAAAATTCAAATCAGTGCGCGATTGTAGTATTTGTCAAGCCATTAGCAACAGCCTTTTGTTTTTTTAAATAGAACAATTATTAACAGAGTTACAGCTTGGGCCGTTTTTTATAAGTCAGCCTGTATATGGAAATAGGCAAGGAAAATAAAAAAAATATGTAAAGTTGCTTATCTCAATACCAAACAATGGTAGTAATCTACTTGAAGATATACAAGATTTTTCATCTGGAAGAAAATGACGTTACTTTTGACTTTTTCAGTTTCCTTATTAAAACTTTTAATGAAAATTACTAAGTTTTTTTATAAATATTTTTTTCATAGGTCTCATTTACGACGACATAGACAGCACCTGCGCCTGGCCCAGCGACAGCAAGCGCAAGGACTGTTTCAAGTCCAAAAAGGACTCCTTGGACGACGGTTTCCAATGCCCAGACGGCGACACCGAAGGTCCCAACGGAAGCAAACTGCCCCACCCGACATTCGCCCATCCCGATGACTGTCAGAAGTTTTATATTTGCCGAAACGCAGTGATGCCACAAAAAGGATCATGTTCTGCCGGCAAGGTTTACAACGAGGAGACCTTCACTTGTGACGACCCCGCCAATGTGCCAGGATGGTAAGTCAGTCAGAGTTAAAAAAATATAGTAGTGTATTTTTTTAAATACATGCAGGGCACACTACGACGTTGTGATAAACTTTCAGGATTGATCCTTAGAGTCAAAATAAACAAAACGATTATAACTAAATTTTAACCAGTGGAGTCAAAAAGTTTCTCCCAAGGCTGATACTAATTTTTTAAAGATTTTAGAAAAATATTGTTATTTTTATTTGTTTTGAGGAGACCTGCACTTTTTATTTCTTGCATATCCTCCACTATACTCGTTCAGATATTTCTGTTGGTAACTATAGGAATTATAAAATAATTATCTGATTGCATTAAGTATATTTACTCTTTTACAAAGTTATAATAACGTTCATGTCTTGCCTTGGCATTAAAGTCACCATGTAATTCATCAGTTTTGTACGATTTGATCGTAATACAATGCTGTGAGGTCTCTATATTTTGTCTCTCGGGAGCATAAACTAACATAAAATCTATATTAATCAGTCGTAGTCGTAGTAGTATAAAGCAATCGCACTTTTTCTATTTCAAAATGAAAATTCGGAAATAACCAAATCATCAGGTTTTTATGGATTTTAACCTACTTAATTTTTGCCTTTATTGTTTCAGCGAGGACTATTACGAGAAGAAGAAGAAGAACTAATCACTAATTGAAATATATGTCACTCTTCACAGTTCATGGGATATATATTTTGTATTTGTACTTTCTAATTTTTGTATCTATGTAGATACCTATAAATTATAGTTACTATTTAGTACCTTCCTCTTGAAAAATTGGATTATTATCATATACCTATTATTTATTCTAAAAATGGTGTCAGTTAAGCAATGATCTATCGATATGTTCCATTTTATACCTGCCTATCTAATATTATGAGAAGAAATGAAAATTTTAGATATATACTTACTACATATTCAAGTAATATTAGATACTCTAAAAAAATGTAGGATAAAATGTAGCACTGCATAGATCACAATAACACTGTTATCTGTTTCTCTGTTTAGATAAAAATTGTATTTCTGTGCCATTCGGGGATGTTTTGTATATATGGTAATTTGGTGTTAAGTTTTAATAAAATTTAAGAAACACTAGCTCATGTTTAAATCCTTCAAAATGATATTAAGCCAGATGTTGATAAATGTTCAAATACATGATACAATTTTTTTTTAAGTAAAGTCAATCTTGCTTCCATAAAAACGTTATAACTTGTTCCACAAATACAACAGTATATTGCTTTAATAGTTATTTATTATTCTATGCTACAAAGTATTACTTTCTCATTCAAAATTCAGTCTTTTGCGAGCGCTATGGAAACTCTATCAAACAATTTTTTTGTAAAACTACTCTCAAATATTATTAAAATTTTCGAAAAAGGGAATCCAAATGATGACATTTACGATAAATTAATTTGATGTTCATGGTAGAAATATGTATCCGTCAAATTATCAATCCTGTCGCATTAATTAAATGATTAAAATTAAGAAAAAAAATAGTGTTAAAATATAACAACTCAATTGTTAAGTATAAATGAAATAAAAAGCGAAATAGATTTTTTAACTGATGCAGAATAGTTGCCTCTTGTGCAGCATAACAAATTATTCCTCAAAAATCTGCAAGACAAAATAGCTTACAAATGACTTGAGTATTTCAATTGGTGAATTATAACCTATAAAGCAAATTCCGTATTTGCCATAGGTACCTTTAAATATCATTGCTACTTGCATCACTAATAAGTTGGAAACCTGCCGGCTATCCTGATGAATGATCTTAGCAATTTACTAGATATTAGGGGTGTAATTCAATGTCAGTAGAGGTATATAGTCTGTGGAGTACTTGTTTCCCACAATATCATTAGTTACCTAAATAGCTTACAAAAGGGTTGAAAATGTGGTGTACTGTAAAGAAATTTAATAAAACACACGGAAATGTGCTACTGGCTTAATAAGAATGCAAGGTTATCAATGTGAAACATCCAACACTATGGTCAATTTTTTCTATGTTAATAAGTACAGTGGATGTTAAAGAAAATATTATTATGAAACCAATCTCAAAATTTGGCGTCCTCATTGAAAAGTAAATAAATTGAATATCGTCCAAAGAACTTTGGCGAAACATTTATACAAGGTAATTCATGTTACTTTATATTATAAAGATGTATTGGTTTCTCTAATTATGTTTTTTTAAGTTATTTTAATAATGGGCATTCACGGAAGAACAACTAAATCCGACAATACAAGATATGAAAGACAAAGATTATCCATTATCAATTAAAATTTTTAACAGCACTAACAATCGTAGATAATTCATTGATATAAGTACCTAATAAAAAATGTGTCAATCAAGCGGTTGGTATCTATAAAATAAAAAGGACTTCAAGAGAAATTTATGAATATTTCCAGAAGGTTGTGAGGATTTTAGGTGATTCTGGACCAGGCATTACCTTCATCAAAAGACATGGTAGTTAGAAATCTGTTTCATTGGCTGAAATTGATATTGAAGAAGTAGACATTGAAGTGAAAATAAAAGTTTCCAAATAGAACGTCCTCGAAAATTATTGAAATTTCTCAGTCAGTTGCTCCATTATTGCATCATAATTAGACCTTTAGGAAAAGACACATATTTTAAGAGATTACCTTGAATACACATTTGAAATAAACTTGACTATTTGGGAACTTCAATTTGCAATTTTCGGAGAAAGAAAATAATAATAGTAGTCGATTAGTTTGAGTTGTAAAATGTATTCAGTTGAAGTAAATAATTATTTAAAAATAATATAATTGGTAAAGAAGCAATTTGTCCAATTAAATTGGAGATGATAGTTGTACGGAATAGAAGTTTTACGCCAGAACAAAAGTCCTTTTCGTTCAAGTTAACTAAAGTGCCTTTTTGGCGTTTAAGAAATCTTATTAAAAAGTCAACGTTTTATGAAAGTTTTCATGAAAAAGGCGTTACAGTTTACATATAAATATTAATCTTTTTAAATATTTCTTTCAACTATATAGATCAATGATAAATCAGTTTATTCGTGGATTAGTTAAATTTTTTATAACCAAATATGTACTTCCCCATATTACTACAGTTTCAGGGTAAGGATTAATTAAGAAAATAAGCCATTCATGGTCATTTACGTAAAAGATATAAATAGTTTTCAAGTTTAGTTGAGCAAATTTGAAGTTTTCTCATTCTGTAGTCTTCGTGGATATAATTTGGGGATATTTTTTAAATAAATGAATAATATTCGTATGAAATTTATTTACGATAACGAAAATTATTAAATTTGCATTTGCAGTACTAGGTATAATAATAACACAAAATTAAATCATACAAAAATATGTTGTTTGAGACTTTCTCGAAACTACTTTTTTTCTGAGAAAAATACCGCAAACCGTATCGAAACCTAATCATTAAAATGGAAGCCATTTGAGAACTCGTTTCAAAATACATTTATAAAGTTCTGTCTTAAATCCATTTTATTTTATTTATACATAACAAACATTAAATATCTCTATATTTAGCTAAAATTATCATCCGTTGTAGATGTATGATAAAATAAATAATTTTCTTAATTTAATTACTGAATTTAGTTATCCTTTTTAGTTATCAAATGAATTTAGTATTTACCCTGTAAGTAAATCGGTCTGAGTGAAAGCAAAAAGGTCCTGAGTGAAATTATTGAGTAATATTGGGGGCACTTTGATAATTTTAGACATTTTTGATAATATTTGAACTAAAACTGATAGTTTCACTCAAAAAATTTTAGTTACACTCATACTATAGAGTAAAATTTCACTCAATGGGGTGTGGACAAAAAGTGAAACATTATTGAGTGAAATTGAATGAAAATAAGTCCATTTTTTCTTACAGTGTATGTTCAACAAAAGGAGCGATATATATTTCCTAAAAGTATGCAACCAACTATTACACTATAAGAAAAATTGGACTTATTTTCACTCAATTTCACTAAATAATATATCAATTCCTGTCCACACCCTAATATTATCAAAAATGTGTACAATTATCAAAATGCCAAATATTGACTGAAAATGTACTGAATAATTTTATTCAATGGATTCACATAATTCCTTTTTGTTATCACTCAGACCGATTTTTTTACAATGTATCACTCACATAAATAAAAGAACTATATTTTATTTGTATTTATGGCTTTTGTCCGATTTACTATTAAATAATATTAGGAAAATATAAATTTGTTAAATTTTACAAAAATTCTTAGGAGCAACTGAAAAATCGGTCATTTAGAGATTTACGATTCATTTTAGCGACATGTAAGAAGTGACTTTTTGTAGTAAATAAAGTCCATTTACATAAATTATGCGCGTTTTCTCTAAATCTATACCAACAAAAAAAAAGGCTAGAAAAAAGCTTGTGCTGATCTTTGGTTACAACAAAAAACCCTGTACGAAATTTCCTAAAATAAATACCTAAAACAATATCAGTTATCTAAGAAATACAGATTGTAAAAATATAAATTTAATGTTCATCAATTTTTAAATTTCAAATCCATGAGAATTGCAGCTGTCAAAATTCATTCAACTGAAAGGAAATTTAATCAACATAAATTTACCTTAAATAGTATTTCTTCCACTCCTATTGAAGATGAGCGTAGGAAAGATCATCAAATCATTTTGAGGTTAGATCGCGTTTCTCCGCTTCTCTTGATGCCGCTTCACATGATTTGGTTTCGTTTCGCATAACTTCGCTTCGCTTAATCTCGCATCGCATCGCTTTACATTATTCCGCTTCGTACTTTGCGTTACTTCGATATTTTTAACCTGAGTTATAAATTTTTCATTTTGTGATTGATTTACCTTGGGACTTTTTTACTTGGGTTAGATATATTTAAACGGGTATTTATCACCTCGTGATGTTTGGAAATTGAAAATATTGCAAAAAGAAACTTTTCCTAAACTTAATGAGATGCCGGCAAACCGAGACAAAATTTCTGGCATTCGGTTTACAATATAAAATAATATAAAATGTAATTAAATTACATTAAAAAAGCGGTATGGCTACTTTTCGTTGTTATACTTTTTAGATCAAAGTTGTTAAGCGTACTTACTAAATTAGTTTTTAATAAATTGTAGCAACAGAAGGTAATTCTAAATTGTTTAAATATCCAGTTATGTGCGCGCTATACGTGAACTAGTCGGTTAAAAAGGTTTACCTTACAACTTTCACCGTTCTCGTTTAATAGAATATGTGGTTACACAATATTGAACAAAATAATTGACAAATAATAACTGAGAAATGTTTACCTATTAAACAATAAAATACTTCGGTTGTTATATCATATAAATGCAACTATGTACCGATTATTATTTGGTACTTAATACGAATTTTGCATGGGAAATACATTTATATTCTCTTTTCGCGTTAATTAATTTGGTACGTCCTTGTAAGTACTGGTAGATACCACCTGAGCACAGTTATTCGAATATTTTAAAAAAGGATATATAACTATGAAAAACAAATTAACAAAAACAAGATAACATATAGCCATCAAGAAAAACAAGAAATTTCATTGTACTTATTTTCAAGGAAGAGGTAAAATCAAACTAATACGTATTTAGACTAAATTATAAGCTTTCTAAAATACTTAATTTTATCAAAAAACCTCGGGTCCGGTCGTTTTTGCATTCTCTTATATTACATGTATTAGATTTTTTAAAAGTTCAGACAAAAAATGCGATGCACTGTATTTTTATTCAATATATATAATTGGTGTAGAAAATTCTCCATAATTTAACTAAGTTTCTTATGCATGAAATCAACAAACAAATTATAAGCACTTATAGTTAGTTCTGACATCAAAATAGCAGGAGAAAGCTTTTATAATAATAAAAAGACAACAGATGGTCGCAGTTTTCTCTAGAGGTCGTAAAACATTTTTTGATTACTTTAAACTGGATATAATTTGAGTTAAATGTTTTTAACAATTAATAAGATTTGTCCAATTAAGACCTGCATCAATAACATTTGTAATGGACGTCCAAAAATTCACACGAAAGAACAACACGTCATTATTGAACAATATTTTAAAAATAATAAAGGTTTGGCAGCTACAATTCGC